GAGGTCCGTCCCAAAATAGGCCTCGTCTTGCTGCAAAACGGGACTTCAATATAACTAAACTTATTGCGTTTCTGAGTTACCATGTTCACATACTCACGAATAGACAGATCAACAGACAGACAACTCGTTGACGGTCTTCGTTCAAAATCTGATGTAAATATACTGTTCTAATAATAAAACCATATGCGAAATTTTACCTATTTAGCTCGTTGCCTTTTTGGTTTATCATGCTTACATGTACACTTAAGGACAAACAGACAAATTTCTTCTTAAAGGATTTCGCCCAAAAATTTTATACATATCTTTCGATATTAAGACAATATACCAAATTTCATTCGTCTAGACTCTTTCTATTTTTGAGTTATCGTGTTCGCAGACAGTCAGAAAGACATTATTCTAAAAATGGTCTTTTCGAACTCAGGTGAACAAAACGTGGAAATTAATCAGAATATCGGTGTCGTATTTTTTTTACTATTATGATGCTTTCTTTGTATAATTTTTACACGAGAAGGTGAAAACAATAAACAGTATCTAATTTTTTAGAATTGAAGAAGTCATTGGATTAAATATTAGTAAAAACAATGAATGAAGAGTACAAGAATGAAGCAAAGAATTCATTACAACATTGAAAAGTATAGTTACAAACTGGATGAAAGATTTTTTAAAAAATTTTAATGAGCAATCGGTATCGGATCTGTGAAAAGATAATTTTTTTAGATTTAAGATGTTAATTTTTTTTGTTTGTTAGGTTGTATTTTCCAAGATTATTTCCGAAAAATGCCAAAATTTTTCTTAATTATTAGTTAATTAAAAGCCTAATTAAAATTTCGAAGGAATAACTTTAGGGTCCACATCGCCTTGTACCTAAGAATATCTCTGCCAAAGTTGGTAGCTCCGGGTCCAACGATCTGTCTTGTAGGGTGCCAACAGATAGAAACAAGTGCACACACGCATGCATCTTCCTTTATTACTGTTAGAGCATAAACAATGTTTCATTTTGTCATTTATTTTCTAATTTTGCTGTTGAGACAAAAATTTTTGGATGAAATTGGGGTCACGAAAAATTTTACCACACAATAGATTTAATTTTAAAAAAGTTTTAAAACCACCCTCCTTTTTAGTGTGCTAAACCACATATTTTTTTAATTTAATTAATTTCTACTTCTTAATTTTGAGATCTATCGTTTATTAAACTCACTACCAGGTGGCACCACTGGTACGGAACCAAAATTTAATTTCATTAATGATTGACTGGTAATTAAGTTCTGAAAATATTAAAATAGTGTATTTTCATCGACAATACACAGATGTACAAAATTTCACTCCTCTTACACCTCAAGAAGAGAGTAAAAAATTCATTACAAAATTCCATCTTCACAAGCATGAAAACAATTGAAGCTGAAAGTTGAAGTTGAAGTTGTTGTTGAAGTTTGAAATTGAAGTTTTTTGAAACAAAAAGTGTTTAAAAAGGGTCGCGAGAAAATAAAAAAACTCTAAAGAATAACATTTGAACTGGAGGCATTTTTTATCATGAGCTTCTTTAAAAATGATGCTCACTTTTCGTACAAAATTTTCCCTAAGTGTCGACGATGGATATTAAATATGACATTTCTGACAAAATCGATAAAATTCAATTCAGGCATTGCATTGCTTAATCATTTAATATTCCCTAGATTGGATTGTCTGCTCTTCTGATTGAACTAATAATTTGAAATAAAAGGAAAATTCGAACTGAATATTTAGAAAGCAAACTGAAAATTCAATTGAACATTTCAAAACGAAATTAAATATATGTTAGTCATAAATGATATTTGACTTATTTATGTTCCTTAAAAATGCATGGTGTGTGTCTTGTAGGATTGTGAAAATATTGGATCGAGTATTTCAAAGGAAATTAAAGATAAATTTTAGTCACGATTAATATTTGTCTTATCCGTTTTCAATTAAATAATATAGTGCGTGTTTGTTGTTCGAGGGGATTAAATTGAGTTCTTCAAAAAGAAATATAGATATGCAAATCATGAATAATGCCTTATGATTTATTTTCGTTAAAATGACACCGTGTGAGACTAAAATATTAACGAATTGCAGCATCGTGGTATAGATCTGAGATAAGATAATTTTCTATATATATTTATCATTTTAATTTATATTTCATTTATGAAATATAATTTCATAGTTTTACTTTCTCGTATATGTAATACACAAAAAGGAAGTATTGCGATCGTCAACAAATTCAACCTCTGGACTTTTATGAATCTTCACGTTTAGACCCACTTTAGTCCGAAAAGAAACATTTTTGGGCGCCTGTCTGCCTTTGAACAGGATACCATATGCAACAAGCTAGACAGATGAAATTTGAAATATGTTTTTACACCTAAATTGTAGATTTCTATCAAATTTTGGACAAAATCCGTCTACAAGAACTCTGTCAGTCAGTTCTTCCGTGTGCTTGTGAGCACGATAACTCAAGAACGCTACATGGTATATGGACGGAATTTGGCATAAGGTTTTCTCATAAAAATTTTATATCCACCTCTCGAGAACTCTTTCAGTCTATCCTTCCATGTGCGTGTGAACACGATAACTCCAGAACGAAACGTGGTATATGGACAGAATTTGGCATAAGGTCTTATCACTTAAATAGTTAAATTTATACAGTTAAAAGCAATTCGCTTCATTTAATAAAATTGCTTAAATTATGTGTAATAAATTTGAAAATAATGTAAGAAATTGTTAGATAGAAAACCTGAAAACTATAGTTGAAAGCAAATTGATGGTTATTTAATATGAAAAACTAAAACATATTGAAACATATTTTAGTTTGGATTCAAATTGAAAGAGTACATTCTCGGTCGATTAAAGACAAACCTGATTAATATGTATTTATTGCAAAGATTTCAATGCTAAACTGTGTCTAATTTCCTGTTTTAAACACAAAAAAAAAACATTCGGTAACGTGAATCTTTAGAATCATTTATAATCATTGTGATAAAATTTATTAATCTTGCGAGCTCTGCGAAAAAAATTCTAAATAAAATTAAATATGTTTTAAGCACTAGCTGATAAACCAAGAGTTGATAGGGTTGAAAATATTCTCACGTCTTTTATCAATAAGAAATTAATTAATTAGTTTATTAATTGTCAGGTAACCTGCTCTAAAACCTTCATTATGCTTCAGAATTATTGAGTAAAATTTAAAGTACTTATAACATAACAAATATAGAATAGTTTACTATTTTCATACATCAAATCAACTGTTGACGGCTTCATAATGTAATTGTTCATATGCGAGAAAGTAAAAATATATTTAATAATACCACTCGATGGAATGGCAGCGAGCACTTAAATAAAAAGATTTTAAAAAACGCATATAATATGTTTAATGTAAAAATGGACGTGTTTTCTGTTTTTTTGGGGTAATATAGAAGACCGACCTCCTGTGTAACGCTTCTTCAATGGGGATCTTCATAAGTCATAATACTCTGTTTGAAGGTATTAATTAATGTTTCAAGTAGAGTTTTTTTTAATGTTATGGCTTAAGGATACTTTGAAAATATTAAATATGATGTTTCTATTGCTGTAGCTCTCAAAAGTTTACTTTAAATAAGAACCTTATTTTGTGAAAAGGCCGCCATAATTGTTCATTATCGTTCTTTTTTGCGACTTCTAAGGCTTGTTATGAGGTTAAATTTTTAACCAAACGATTTAGATAATCACTGGCGGTAAAATTTTAAACCAAACTATTTAGCTAATTATAATCGTTCCATTTGGAGTTAAGCAGTTTTAAGAGCTTTTTTAACCGTTTTAAATAAAAACGATTGCACGAACTCAAAGAAAACAGAATTCAACGCTTTTTGTATAAAGAAAGAACTGATTTGAACTTAGCGCTTAATACAGTATCCAAATAGATTTGGCGATTGCTTAAAACGGAGGGTTACCGGAAAACGGTCTGTGAATCCAAAATAAATAAAACAGAAAACTCGTCCATACTGTAATATAAAATATTATGATTCACAAAATCCTCTGATCGTCTGTAATTTTATTTTTAGTTAAAATAAAGTATCAGTTGCAAAACAATTTTAAATCTCGTAGTTTCTCGAAAAATTACAGACATTACAGAATTACCAAAAGATTTTTAAAAACCGCTGAAAGCTAGTTTCTTCCGTAAGTTATTTATAATTTTTTTGAAAGATTCAGAATTTAATTAAACACTGTAAGTGGCAACTCAGGGGCAAATAAATAATAATTTAACAAAAGCAGTTTTTAAAAACACACTTTTATTAGTGTGCTAAATAGTAATTTTTTGAAATTTAATTTTTTTCTACTTTTTAGTCTTTAATTTATAATTCATTATAATAAATATTAAGGAATACTGACATCGATTTTTTTCAGAAATTCACTGCCAGGTGGCACCACTGGTATGAAATTAAAATTTAAGTAAATTAAGCAAATAATTCATAATTAAATTCTAAAAACATTAAAATAGTGTTTTGTCATTGGGAAAACACAAGTGTACAAAATTTCAGAAAATTGCAGATTTATAAATGGGAAAGAAGACAGTTAAATAAAAGTGTATAATAAAATGATTCAAAATATATCTAATATTTTCATCCAATAGGAATGGCAGCATTAAAGATAAAATAATATGTCCTATATATGGAAGCACAGTTTTTAATTAATGAAAAATTAACTATTTAATTCATTATGACGAAACCTTCACTAAAACATTCCTTATGCTTCATAACATTTGGGAGTTAAAATTTGAAGATGATATTTTGAATATTTGGATTTCTGTACCCTACAAACTACTGTTAAATTTTCACTTTTATTTATATAGACTGATTTTAGAATCTATAATATAAAAACCCAGAGATGTCTGTAACGCAGGATGGAGTTAAAAATATCCCCGCCCCTTTGGTTTGCGTCATTATCGGACGCGCAAATCACAATTTCAGGTTTTGCGTCAAACAACTCATACAGGTTTGTTTGGAAAAAGTTAAATTAAGCGGGGAACGAACCCGCAACGTCGGATTTGAAGTGCAGTGCCTTGACAACTGCGCTATTGATCCTTACCTCAGTTGTCATTTTTTATGTATAGATTGACGTATATATTGACGTTAGTTATGGGATCGTAAATTCCACTTAATCAAAACATTACTTAATCATGCTGGATTGTAGTAAAGGTCAATGAGTTGAGTTCAGCAGTTTCATTTCTTTTTTATTAATGTTGATTCTTTATGTTGCATCATAAAGATGCCGGAATCTCAGCCATGTTAAAGTTCGAATGAAAAAATCCACACAACAAGGAGTGTTGTTAAACGACAACAGATTTTTCACAAAGAATGTTGTTTATAATGAAGTTTTATAGTTGATAAAATTCCGTGGCTTTATTGTTTCCTTTTAATATTATTATATATTTGCATCTAAAGTGTAATACAAATTATAATTTTTTTTATTTCTTAAGCACTCTGCTAATGTGCATGAGATTTTCTACTACAACTTTCGTTAGTAAATCTGTGACAATTAGGTCTGAGATATTGTTGGCAAGATAAACAGCGCGTCTTGACGGGCACACGTCTTCTAGTGAATAATAGCATGGCTTAATAATATAAGGAATTACTGAGCTATTTGTACATGCACTTTTCAAAACTCGTTCTGTTCTGTCTAATGCACGAAATTCATCGAAGCACTTGAGAAAAAGAAGACGGTAATCAATCACTGTAGTTTTACAATGTAATATGTTCTGAAAGAATAAGGTGATTTAAGAGCCGTTATCTCCGGAACCAAAAGAAAATAGTACATTAGTATATTACTCCGTAGAGAAACGGAAGAACTATTGGCACCAGTCCGAAAATTGCCCGATATATGGATAAAAGTATTTTAAGTAAATTGTTAAATTTCTGATCGATTACATGAAAAGAAGGGAAAGGTTAAAATGCCTGGGTAAATCAAATTTATCTGGCAAACATAATGCCCGTATTCCAAAATCAAAATGTAGTAGAAATAGTATTTGTTAGTGTCAATAGTATTTCTAAAAATAGTATTTGTTTTATAGTATTTGTAAAAATAGAATTTGGTTGATTAGTGAATGCATTTTATTGGCGCGAAAGCCAGATCCTGGTTATGCAGCCAAAAATTCGAAATGGGAAAGTATATAAGCACAGTCTATAGATAAAATTTATGAACAAATTCTAAAGAGAAAGACTGTCTAACACACAGTGTCGACTTCTGTTTGGAAGATTTTCTTATAAAAGAATTAACATTAGCCAAAAATGAATCCATTGTAAGAGCTCGCATTCATTTAAAACGCTTTGACATTCATTTCATGTTAGGCTGTTCTTCCGGATGGACTTATGAAATTTAGACTGGTATGCTGTCAGATAAAGCTGGAAATGTAATTTCTAAATATTTCAGTCTGTGATCATGCCGAAAGAAAGGATTTAATAGTTCTTATATGATTTCACCAATGAAAAATGTTCCAAACTCCACAGAGGGCATCAGAGTAGTTATATTAAGCCCCGTTATGAAGCGACACGAGAGCGATTTTGGGACAGGCTCATAGTTCTGAATCATGGTCAAATGACGAAAACGACACCCTCTTCTCCAATCTTCCTTTCACACCAGCGGGAGGCCGTTTCACCCTCGGCATCTGATTTGGCCTGCATTAGACCCATGTGCAAGTCGCAAATCTTAAATTCAACTATGGCGAGGACCACACCTGAACAGACATCTTCAAACTTCCGCACCACACCAACTGGATGACCCAGGCCCATATACATGGTGGATCTTTCAGTGGAATCGAGTTTCGAACCTGGAACACTCCTGTCCGAAAACCTTATCACCAGGTCACCACAGCCTTCGATACGCAGTGGCACAGTTAAAGTACTTTTTTTTTCCTTTCGACACCGGCAAAGTTTTGCAAAAGTTTCAGAATGCAGCAGTGTGTTACTCTTTTAACCGACTAACCAATCAAATCTGGAACATTTACTGCTTTTAAATTGCTGCTTTTCAAGGGCAACTTCTTTATCTCTTAATTACTAATATGTTATAGGTAGTGGTAACTAATATATTATTTTGTGGCTGAAAAGCATAGCAGAACAATTTTGAACAAACTGTAGATGATATTTCTGAAATTTGTTCAAAATTGCTGGATAAGAGTCAAATGGGCCTCAGCAAATTTTTTCACGGTATTTAACGTATACATACCGAATGAGAAACATGATTGAGAAATTTCCGCATTGCATTGAAAGTTTAATCCTAACTGCATTATGTGTCTTATTTGTATCGTCTTATAGGGAAACTAGGGATACTTGACCCTACGTGATTTTTTCAGTTTGTGAGATAATTGGTTATTTTTGTGTACCATTTTTATTTGACCTTTGGTCATATGGTCTATTGCAGGGGCTTTCAATCCAAGATGAAAAGTCATCGTAATACAGTGTAGGTAAATATATTTTGGGGGTCCAAAAGTAAATTCTCATTTTTTCATTCCTCAGTGGATAGGAAGTTAACTATTGAATATATGGCGCATTAAAATATTTCTGAGTTCTAAGCATACTTCTAGCTTTAATTTGATATACTGTGTTATGCAGAATCTTAATTCTAAGTGGTTTAATTTTTAGATTATTTAGGAAAAGTCAAGTTAATGATACTTGACCCTAAAAAGTTAGGGATACTTGACCATATCAAAAGCTATTGCAGCTCCGATGTCGTAGTCGACCGAAGCACATTTTGTGTGGTTGGAATCAGTTTTCTGGTGCATGGAGTTTGTTGGCAAAATGGCAACTCAAATATAGAGGATAATTACTTAAAAATTGTTTGTTTGTAATTATTTACTGAATAAAATTTCTTTTTAATATGATAATTTCAAATAAAGCAAATGATTATTTTAGTAAGAATTTTAAAAATAATTGAAATTTAATTAATCTATTTTTTCCTCGCCTGAAAGAAAGTTTTATTTATTATTTGAATAAAAATCTTTTGCTCAAACTATTTGTCATCATTTGGGTTTTATTTAACGTTTCACCATTTCTATTGAGTTTTTTTTTCTTTATTGATTTGAATTTTCTCCTAAAATATATTTTTATTCATTTGCTTTTAATTTTCTTTAAATACTAGATGAACCGAGTAAGTCTATTAACTTCTCTATATTTAGCTTTGTACAACATTTTTTAGATCCCTCCTTTTTTCGTTTTGGTGCTATTCTTCCCAGTTCCATTGCTGTAATTTTTATCATTTAATTAAATCAATATTTTAATTCTTTATTAAATTTTGATCCAATTTAATTTAATAACTAGATTTAATTTAATGACTAGACTAATTTAATTTATTAACTAGATTTCATTAATAACAACTGCGTTTTATAGATTCCATATTATTTTTTTTAATAGTTTCATTAATATTTTTCAATAAGAAACACCTTTTGTAATTCAGTAGTATTAACCTAATATCTGAATTTCGAGTACATACAAATTACCAAAAGAATTTAAATACTCTTTGCATATAGGGTCGAGTATCCCTACCCATAGGGTCAAGTATCCCTAAGGTTAGGGATACTTGACCCAAGGCGATTTCATGAAATATATTTGTTTTATGATTAAATGATATATCAGTTTAGCATAAGTACATTTATCCTTCTTAAAAACAAATCTTTTTATGATGATAAAAATTCAAATATTCGAGAAATATGTGAAAAAGTAAAAGTAGGTTCAAGTATACCTAGTTTCCTTTACTTCTAAAATTGGTAGGCACAAAACAGAAACACTATCAGGGAAAATTTTGTTTCATGAAAAATGTATTTCTCTGTACCTTTCCTACCAGGAAAACCGTGCAAAATATTGAAAAGATAAAGACCGGAGACTTCTTTCATCTTTTTTCCTGGCGAGATCTCCCCACCCAGCAAGTGTTACGATAAGAGAACGAGCCTTCAGCAGCTTGATCCTTAAGTGGGTAGATAGGAAGCCAGGCGATGTGCACTTGATTAATAGCAATGAACTACCAGCCCGCCCGAAGGGGAGGCTGTTTTGATGATTCATTGGCCCAAATGGCCACCATGTCTGATCTGACAAACGGCAATGTCAATTATTGATCAAATCTCTGTAACGGAGAATTGATGGCTATGCTATTTGAAGGAGGCTATTTAATGAGTTTACCAAACCGTAGGTGGACATACATTGTATCTACATTATAAATTGAAACTTAAATTTCATAATTGACTCTGTACCCTTGTTTCAGCGCTGTTTGAACAGGGCTATTTAATGAGCCCTGTGGGCTAGTCAAAAGAGGCTATTTAATGATGTGACTGAACATAGATGGGCATACAGGTGATCTACATTGCAGACTCAAACTTTTAATATGGTAATTGCTGTGCACCCTTTTTTTAGCAGAAGAAAGTGCACGATTTCTTTAAAAACTATTTTATCGGTGTTCATTTCTAACTGGAGACTCAAAAGGAATGTTTTCTTCATTTTTACTTCATTTCTTTAGAAAAGAGGAAAAAAAGACTCAAGGATTATAAAAATTTATGTGATGTGTATAGTAATGACTATTTAATTTATAGCAGCGTGAAAACCTATTTGCTGAATTTCTGTCAGAAAATTTTGAGTTTAAATTTACATTACTCTCAGGCAGGTCAATCAAAATTTATGATAACAAAAGAAGAGCATTACTCCATTCTAGTCAGTGTTTAAGAATAGTATAGGTAGTTAGGAATTTTAAAATATCGAAACTGAGCTTCGCAAACCGTTGAAAACAACTTATATACCTAGTTGGTTTATAGTTCAGTTTAGTAGGTACCACGTAAAATCGTTTATGTGTGCCTTACTGTTTTCAAAGGTTATATCGTTTATAACAGTCTTACAAGAAGGATGGTGAAACCAGCATCATGAACCTGATCAAAGCACTTCAAAAGTTGATATTCGTCTGGTGGAAGGTTTTTTGTCTTTATGATAGGATTTCAAACGTTTTAAAAATTCTTAACTTTGTTCCAAACTGTTAGTTCGCCAGTGCATTTTCGTAAACTGAGTAAATAAGATGATGGCACACAACAAAAGCCCCATAACGATTGAAT